TTCATCAGGACACTGCTGTGGGCCACAGGGATGCTCAGCTCCCACAGCCACGGCCGGCCAGCTTCCCAGAGGCAGGGAGCTATTGGTGACAAACCTGCCCTCGTGGCTCACTGCTCCGTGGGACCCCTCGGTGGACGTGGTCCTCTCCCCCTGAGCCCTGCCAGTCCCACTGTATGGCTAACCACTTCTGCACGTGCTCCACTCACCTTCTTGCCCCTTCCCTTGGAGCTGGGGCCACTGGGCTGTATCCCCCATCACCGCTGTCCCCTCTGTCCCTGCCCAACCACCCCCCTCCCGTGCCCCGACCTGCTCCCAGCTCTGCATCAGGACCATACGGGCCCCTCCAGCCTCGCTTTCTCCCTCCTTGGGACCACTCAAGGCATTGCCCCCCATAACTTGAATATCACGTCTTCTCTCAATTCCTCCACCAGTTTCCCGTGGACAATCTCATCTCAACAGCCACTCCCGAGGGCATAGTAGAGGACCTGCTGGCTCCCAGGGTCCTGTCCCCTCTGACGCCTCTGTCCAAGCACCCCACACGCTGGTCATAGCCTGGGCTTTCGGGTTCACAACTCTGTTCCATGACTCCACTCCTAACCCTTGCAACCTCTACCAGCCCTGCCTCCTACGCTCGCCATCCGTCAGTCACTCCGGGTTCCAGTTCCCTCAAAATACTCACGCTGAAGTCCCAGCAGGCAGCCCCTCAGCGTCTGACAGTGCGCAGGGGTAGGGGCTTCCTCATTCTCAATGAAGAGAAGCCATCAGGAGGACCTGAGCACCAGGACTGGTGTGCCCGTGAGAAGAGGAGACCAGGGCGCAGATGTGCACAGAAGGAAGATGATGTGAAGACCCCGGGGAGAACGAGCCAAGCAGCAAGGCCTCAGGAGAAGCTGGCCCCGACCTTGGTCTTGACCTTCAGCCTTCAGAACTGTGGAACAACGCACTTCCGGGGCTGAAGCCGCCAGGTCTGTGGCATGGTGTTGGGGCAGCCAAGCACACTGAGACCCCCTCCTTACTCAGCACTCCCAGCAGCCCCTCCTGCCTCTCCCGGGGACCCAGCGGCTCCTTGCGTGGAACCGAGAAGCTAAACACGGGGGAGCATGAGCAGGTGTTGCGTGAGGAGGCTAATCCACTTCTCCAGACGCTCTGAAATCTCATCCAGGAGTTCGAGTTCCTGCCCCACGTCCCACGAGCCTGTTGCATACGTTCTCCGTTGTCTTCAGCATCCCACTGGCCCGCACCTCTCTCAGCTCCTGGCTGTGACTTCTCTGTTCAGAGACCAGGGGCCACCAATTGGAGCCACCGCCACTGCCACCACTGCTATACTATAGGCCTTGGGCCCGGGGTTTCTGTTTTCCCTGTACCAGCTCAAAGTCTCCATTTCTCTGGCTTCCCTCTTTTTCCTTGGCCAGAGTTCCACACCTCCACCATTCTCCTGTCTCTTACAATTCCATTCACTGGACTCCCTCCACGCACCTGTATACATACACCATGCACCTGCCTCTCCTACTCAGAACATTTCTGTTGATGCCTGTGCTTGTCTGGTAACGTCTCCAATTTTCTGTTCCTTGTAATGACGCAACATTTGAAACGAGCAGCCTGGAGGAGCAGTGGGTTTAGCCGCCCTGTGCAATGCCAGCATCCCACGTCAGAACACTGGTTCAAGTCTTGGCTGCTGCGTTTCCCATCCAGCTCTCTGCTAATGCACCTGGGAAAGCAGCAGAAGATGGCCCAGGTGCTTGGACCCCTGCCATCTCTGTGGGAAACCTGGATGCAATCCCTGGCCATCTGGGGAGTGAACCCAAGATGATCTCTCCTCTCTCTCTCTCTCTCTGCCTTTCAAACAAATATTTTTTTTATTAAAGAGTCACCTACATTTGCTGGTTCCACTCATTAGCCACATCATCAACAGTTCCTATCTCCTGCAGCTCCAGCCTGACCCTTGCCAAGCTCACCATCTCCTCCCTGTTCCGTGGCCCCGCAAGCTCGTGGCAGCGTTGCACGTGGCCGGCTGCTCCCTACCTCCTTCCAGGATCCTGGTGGCATCTCCTGGCCCCTCCCCGAGCTGCTCTGCTCCGTGCCTTTGCTCTCTTCCCGCCTCCCCCTCCCCACCGGACCTCTGCGGGCCCCTCCTCTTCTGCATCTCCATGATCTCATCCAGGCCTGGGCCTTTTAATATCATTTAGGTGCTGATGGTTCTCCAATTTATATCTCTGCTCTGACCTCCCCTGCAAGCGCCAGACGCATTCATCTAACCTGACGTCTGCATTCAGATGACTCAAGATGAGATTTCTCCATCCCGCACCCACCCTTCCACTCGCTGTCCATCTCGGCAAATGGCACCACCCTCCGCTCCCCGGCTTGCACTTAAAGCAACCCAGGCCTCTCTCTGCCTCACCCTTCTTTTCTTTCCGGCTGCTTTTGCTTTGAGATCTATCACCCACACCACAACTGCTTCCTAAACGGTCGCCCTATTTCTCGCCGGGCGGGTAGGCGACACACTCAGCGCTAATGGGATTAATCCGATTGCCCAGGGGCAGGTGCGTGTCTTCCCTCCTTTGTGTGGTGCATCGCTCAGAAACGGCTGCCATTCAGAAAGCCAGATCAAGCGCCATGAACAAATTAATTCCGATTAGCACAGCCCAAGCACTTAGGCCCCAGGGCGATCCCGGACAGTGCTGGAGGGAGTGGCTTGGCCCTGGCCTGCTAATAAAGTGGAAACCGAGCTGGAAGCAGAGGCGATTATTTTGACGCCTGTCTCTTTCCCTGCAGGGCCCGATTTCACCACGGTCTCCAGAGAGAATGAACTCACTTTCTAATAGCGAGTTATTAATGCCCCGCCTCAGCCGTCAGGTCCGCCAGAGCGGTCGGCTCTCCCCACTCCCTGTGGCTCCACGGCCTTCTACTTAGGACCAAGTATCCAGCAGGTGCCTAATAATTGGAGGACAGGATAAGTGAGCAAGTGGGAAGTAAGTCTGGGACCAGGATTGCCAGTACTTCGTTCTTTTATTGAAATGTACGTGGTCTCCCACTGCGGATGGCATGGTAGATTCAGAGCTAAACCAAGGCAGAGTCCTTTGGGATGTTGCAGACGGGCGGAGGGAGGGAGAGCATCAGCACTCACCCTAGAGATGAGCCACACCAGCCAGGACAAGCACACCGGCCGCAGAGACGGAGTCTGCGGGCAGGAGGGAGGGCAGGGGGCTCCCAGATGCCCAAGGCTGAGACAGCTGGGCTGAGCTCTGCTCGGGGCAAGGAGCCAGCAGCTCCCTCTAGAGACAGGGTCTCCAGGAAGGGCTAGACGTGTCCCTGATGATGGGCCAGCTTTGCCCACACTCAGTCCACCTGCCTGGATACCACCCTCCCGCCTTCCAACTCGGCCCCCTCACTCACTCACGGCACTGGGCTTGGCCCTATTCCCACTTTTTCTTCCAACAAAGCCTTTCAAGGTTCCAAGTAGAAGACTGGCGCTGTGGCACCGTGAGCCAAGCTGCTGCCTGCGGTGCAGGCATCCCACATGGGCACCGGTTCACGTCCCGGCTGCTCCACTTCTGATCCAGCTCCCTGCTGATGCTCCCGGGAAAGCAGGAAAAGATGGTCCCAGTGCTTGGGCCCTGCACCCACAGATGCTCCTGGCTCCTGGGTTCAGCTTGGCCTAGCCCACGCAGACTGTTGTGGCCATTTGGGGGAGTGAACCATCAGATGGAAGCGCGCTCTCTCTGCCTTTCCAATGAAAAAGTCAATAAGCTTTAAAAAATTTCTATCAAAATTTTTAATCCCAATTGGAAGGGTTCCCTCCCCTCTCTGAACTCCCAAAGCACTTATTTGGCACCTGCTGTCTCTGCGGCCTTCTATGGGTAAACATTGTGGTGTATTTGAAGCCTGCCTCCCCCACCCCATTTCCTCTCTTCCTGTTTCTCTGTCCCGGGGCTGCCCCGTCTCCTCTGATTCTCCCAGCCCCCTGGGACTGGTCAGGTCCTCAGCTACAGACAGGCAGGGAGTCAGAGGGGACTGCCGGACCCACTGACACGCAGACAGGTGAGAGGGAGACTCCTAGAAGCTCTGCCTCTCATCCCAGGATGTCCAAGATGAGCAAGAATTGAAAGGAATTCCTTCACCTGGGAGGCAGTGCTGTGCCCAGGGGGTTAAGCTGCCTCCCCTGTCGCCGGCATCCTACAGTGAGCACTGGTTCGAGTCCCATCTGCTCCGTTTCTGATCTGACTCCCTGATAATGCATCTGGGAAAGCAATGAATGATGGTCCAAGTGCTTAGGCCCCCGCCACCCATGTGGGAGACTCAGATGGAGCGCCTGGCTTCTGGCTTCAGCTTGACCCAGTTCCTGGCTGATGCAGCCATTTGGGGAGTGAACCAGTGGGTGGAAGATTCTCTCTCTCTCTCTTCCCCTTTGTCACTTTGCCTTTCAGTAAAATAAATCTTAACAAAAAGGAGGAAGGTGGAAAGGAAGGGAGGGAGGGAGGGAGGGAGGCAGAAAGAAAGACTCCATCCAACTCCTGAGACTAGAGTTGGCCTTGGATTTTAGAAGAAGTTTCCAGAAGATGATTTAAAGTGTCCAAGAATATTCCTGGCTTTCCAGTGGGAATGCTCAGAGATGTTTCCAAGACCAGGGTCACCTTGACCATGAAAAGGCCCAGAGCCAAGAGATGAGATAAGGGAGACGGCCAGCCACCCTCCCACAGACGGGCCCCAGCCCAGCCCATCTAGCCACTCTCCAATGACTGAGATCTCCAACGGTTTTCCTAGATGCCCCCCAAGCCCCTTCCTGTCCTCACCATCCCGGCGCTAGCAAGGCTCACCCAGAAAGCCAGGATATCTGTAGATGAGACTCGAGGGGCCTGTGCAAAAGACCACTGGCCTGGGCTCCCTGCGCTATGGCCAATGGGGATGAAGCCATGGCGCCCGACCCCAGAGGTGATGGTGGTGGCTGGGGGGCAGAGCCAGAGGACAGGAGATGTGGGGCGACGGGCACCGCTGATGCTGACCTTTCACAAGAGCCGTCCTGGCCTCGGCCCACTCGCTCCTCCCGTCTGTCGTCAGCAGGCCAATGGGGGGCAGGCGGCGGTCCTCGCTGGCAGCCATTCTGACTATCTTTCTCAGCTGAGTGAACAGGTCCCCCTCACTGAGACGGCGGAAGTTAATGACAACATCCAAGACAAAGAACTGCGGGAGAAACAGGAGGGACATGTCACCCGGGCGCCCGTTGTCGCCAGCCAGGCACCGGGTGGGCTTAGGAAGGGGACGCTATTCCAGGGCTGGGAGTGGGGGTGCGGGGGGTGCTAAATCATTCCCACTGGGGGCACCAACCCAGCGCTGACCGCTGACTGGGCTTCACGCTGCTCACAGCTATGAGGACTGATCCAAAGGAAAATTTGTGTAGTTCCTGCAATACCCAAAGCCGTTACATTTGTAGGGGAACTGGGTATAAATTGGCACAGCCGGCCGGCGCCGCAGCTCACTAGGCTAATCCTCCGCCTTGTGGCGCCGGCACACCGGGTTCTAGTCCCGGTCAGGGCGCCGGATTCTGTCCCGGTTGCTCCTCTTCCAGGCCAGCTCTCTGCTGTGGCCAGGGAGTGCAGTGGAGGATGGCCCAGGTGCTTGGGCCCTGCACCCCATGGGAGACCAGGAGAAGCACCTGGCCCCTGCCTTCGGATCAGCGCGGTGCGCCGGCTGCAGCGCGCCGGCCGCGGCGGCCATTGGAGGGTGAACCAACGGCAAAGGAAGACCTTTCTCTCTGTCTCTCTCTCTTACTGTTCATCTGCATGTCAAAAAAAAAAAAATTAAAAAAAAAAATTGGCACAGCCACCATCGGAAGAGCAGCATTCACTGAAACTTCCTTGTGCATGCCTGTGACTCAGCAATGGCCCTTATACATGCAGACCGCAGCCCAAGGCACGTGCACCAGAGGACATAGGAGGGGCTCTGTGTGGCAGCCTTGTTTGCAATGGCAAAACGGTGGGAGGAGCCTCACTGTTCTCCAGAAAGGGCATGGCTGAGTGATAGGTAGTGAGTGTCCTTGTACGGTGGACACACCCAGCATTCAAAGTAAGGAACCAGGAGCCGGTGATGTGGCATAGCGGGTAAAGCCGCCACCTGCAGTGCCGGCATCCCATATGGGTGCCGGTTCAAGTCCCGGCTGCTCTACTTCCCATCCAGCTCTCTGCTATGGCCTGGGAAAGCAGTAGAAGATGGCCCAAGTCCTTGGGCCCCTGCGTCCGCGTGGGAGACCAGGAAGAAGCTCCTGGCTCCTGGCTTCAGATCAGCTCAGCTCTGGCCATTGTGGCCAATTGGGGAGTGAACCAGCGGATGGAAGACCTCTCTCTCTCTCTCTCTCTCTCTCTCTCTCGCTTGCTCTCTGACTCTACTTTCTCTGTATAACTCTGACTTTCAAATAAATAAATAAATCTTAAAAAAAAAAAAAGAGGCTAGGCAGAGACCCAGGTCCAGACTCCTTTTGAGCTGATTGACAGTGAAGTCTTGGCTCCCGCCCAGGGCAGTGACCACGTGTAGCCTGGCCCAGGGCAGGAGCTCTCAGAGTAACTCTGGAAGGGCGGACTTCTACACAGCGGGGCGGGGGGGTGGGGGATGGGAAGTGTTGGGCTTGGCTTTTGAATGAAGGAGGGCTGGGAACAACCTCTCTGTGACGTCTGCTTGTATAGAACAAGAGTTTGGGACACTGAGAGGGAGACAGGAGCCCTTCCTCTCATCAGCTTGTCGGGGGTCTGTGCTGGCTCTGGGGACCCCGGTCTGAGGCCCTGAGCTACAGGGCACAAAGTGGGGGCCTTGGGGCCCCCGGTCAGACCTGGGAGTCCTTTCCACTCTCGGGCAGACTGTTTCGCTCATGGGAACCTCACTTCCCCATCTGGCAAATGGAGGCGCTGAGGGCCCCTGCACGGTCAGGTGGAGTGTGGTCTGGCACATGGGAGGGCCCACACGTCCGTCTGTAACTCTGTTCTGTCTGTGCAGGGCCCCTGGGGGGCCACAGCCAGGGTGAGTGCATAGAAACAAGTGGCTGGGCAGCTGGAGGGGCTGGCAGGCTCCCGGGGCATGCAGGGAGTTCTTCAACCTGCCCGGGCCCGGGACACCACCGTCTGTCTGGTGATTCTCCTCATTCCGAAAGCCCACGCGTGGAGGGAGATGGCACTGACTGGGAGCAAGAGACCCCATGTTGGGGCCACGGTGCCCCCAGCTCCCCGTGTGATTCAGGGGCATGGGCTTGAGCTCCCTGGGAGAAGTAGGGATGGAAGGACACATCCACTCGCTCCCGGAGCCCGAGAGGCGGCAGTGGTGACAAGGCGCGGCTTACCTGGTTGCAGCAGGCTACAATGATGTGCTCCGGCTCGGGCATGATGCTGCTCTTCTGGGCCACCAGTGTGTCCCGGGCATGTCCGGGGAGCCGGTAGGAAGAGAAGAGCCCATAGTATTGTTTCATGCAGAGGGGCTGTCCAGACAGCTGGCCCTTGGCGCAGTCCGTGGGGATGGAGTGGCTGGAGGCGGGGTGGGGGGAGTGGGGGAGGAGGAAGGCAGGTGGTCAGGTAGAGAGGGACTTGGAACTGGTTCTGCTGCAACTTGGTTAGGTAAACTGAGGCACACACCCAGGGCTGCATGTCAGTTGCGGAACTCAGTTCTCCACTTTCTGAAGAGCGATCCATTTCCGGGGCCCGTGGGAGAGCCCCAGGCTTGCGTCACACCTCTGTCAATCCTCGTCATTCCAGCCTCTCGCACGGCATTGCAAACCTCACCATTCGGCCCTGGGTGCCTTTGCTTATGTGGCCTCTGCTTGGCCCACGTGCACCCATCCTTGCATTCAGTGTTTAGAAAGCTCCTTCCCCTCTTTCAAAAGCCTGCTCCTGTAGCCTGTCTTCTGGAAGCCCCTTCTTGAGTTCAAGGCAGCAATGTCTCTCCCCTGTGATGTCACCATGCCTGTGTCTGTTCTTCTTCCCTCCCTCCCATCCACCCATCCATCCACCTTCCACTCATCCATCCATCTACCCATCCCCCACCATCTACCCACCCATCCATCCACCTACCACCCATCCATCCATCCATCCATCCACCACCCATCCATCCACCCATCCATCCATCCACCCACCACCCGTTCATCCACCCACCATCCACCCACCACCCATCCATCCACCCATCCATCCATCCACCTACCACTCATCCATCCACCCATCCATCCATCCACCCACCCATCCATCCACCTACCACTCATCCACCCATCCATCCACCCACCCATCCATTCACCCACCATCCATCCATCCATCCTTCTACCCACTGTCCATCCATCCATCCTTTCAGCCAACAAAGACTCTCTGAGCACCTCTCAATGTCACGCACCCTTCTAGGACCTGAGACATAGCAGCAAACAAGATATGCATTGTCTGCTCTCTTAGTGTGCACGTCCTGGGATGTGTGGGTGGGGAGTAGCTGAAGAGATGGGAGAATTTTGGGCACTGAGACAAAATGAGTGGCAGGGCCAGAGGGTGGCAGCTGGAGCAGGGTCACTGAAGCCCAGTAGCACAAGCTGAGCCCTAAGGGGGGTGGGGGTGGGGTGGTGTTGTCTCAAAGAGCAGGTGTCACACTGAGCTGTCGTGACTGACACATGACAGTGAGTGCTGGAACCCAGACACACCTATAGCCATGTGGTGGGAGGTGTAGAGTTGTTGAATCCAATAATGAAACTTGCAGTCTCAGGTTTCTGCTTTTGTACCACGTGTCCAGTAATTCAAGTTTTGTTGTGTTTTACAAACAAATTAAAAAATTGGAGAAAAAGTAAAAACACCCACTAGTCTTTCTGCAGATAGTCTGAGAAGCACCGGCCGAGTGTTGAGGGGGTGGGTGAGGCTGGGTGAGGGGCTACAGGGCAGGCAGGCAGGGACAGACTCAGAGGGCTGCCGGCGCAGGTGGGCTTTGCTGTACTTTCTGCTTTGGTAATGACCAAGGAAGGAAGCTGCAGCTGAGACAGGAGGGCGAGGGAGGCTCATGGGTGTGTTCTCCAGGGAGGGCGACCACCCCCGGGGCTCTGGGTAGCAGACTAGGGGTGGGGGAGAAAGAGGAACCGTAGATGACTTCTGGGTCCCTGAGTGAGGCAGCTGGGCTATATGGCAGGTGCACCTACAGAGGTGCAAGACAGGTCAGGGCAAGTGGAGTTCAGAATTCTCTGGGGCTCTTCTGCAATGGCCAGGGGACCCTCCCCCGGTGGGGCTGTCTGGGGGTTCAGTAATCGTGTGTCTGAACTGCCCAGTAGTCTGCAGATGGAGCCTTATTTCTCTTCATCTTCCTAGCATTAAGGCATTGTAGAGTGAATCAATAAATGAGTGAATGAATGAGTGGCCCAAAACAGGGACTGGCAAAGGTCCCCGGCATGTGACATTTACAGTCATCGGAACGGGACGAGGCGTCCGTGGGAGTGCGCACACACACGTGAGTCTGGGGTGCGGACTGCTGTGATGGATGGGTACAGAGAATGGTGCTTTTCCTCCTCCACCCTTCCTCCTAGCTCTTCCAAGACAGAGACTGGGCTGGGCCTGGGGGCGCGAGTTCTGCGTCTGAGAGGGTGTGGTCCAGACAGGTTCTGGACAGCTCATAGGCATCTGAATTCAGAGTCAAGTCTGCTGACCCCAGGGCCCAAGCCCTGAGCCATTGGGCCGTTAGGTCTGGGGGCCCTGCCTCCTCCTCTTGTGGGGGTTGCAGGTCTGAGCCTGAGCCCCAAGGCTGGGTGAACAGAGTGAAGTTTGTCCCCTGTGCCTTCTTTGCTCTGTCACCTCCTGGCTGTGTGACAATGGGCAATGTACTTAACCTCTCTGATCTTCAACTTCCTGATCTGTTCAAAGGACATTGCTTTGGGCCTCCCTCTCACTCCAGCGTCTGGGATCTTTCTATTCTCTGGGCTTTCCAGACCCTCTGGTTCCCCCTGATGCCCACCGGTACCCTGGGCTTGGCCAGCAGGGGGATTTTCCTGCTAAATTCAACTCTATCCCGCTGTGTGTGTGTGCAGCTCCCTCCACCTGTCAGGGTGCCTCCTGTCCACTGAGCTTGGAGGGACAGAGACAGAGCTGCGAGCGAGAACACTGACCCTACCACCTCTCATCCCAGCAACACTTCTCCACCTTTCCTTGTGCTTTCTAAATTCCTGACCAAGGAATTCACTCCACCTGTGAACTCACGAGGCGTGGAGGGAGACAGATGTTTTAGAAAGATCAAGGGAAGGGGCCAGCGCTGTGGCGTAATAGGCTCCTGTATCCATGTGGGAGACCTGGAAGAAGCTCCTGGCTCTTGGCTTCAGATAGGCGCAGCTCTGGCCATTGCAGCCATTTGGAGAGTTTACCAGCTGATGGAAGACCTCTCTCTCTATCTCTCCTTGTCTCTGTAACTCTGTCTCTCAAATCAATAAATAAATCTTAAAAAAAAAAAATATCAAGGGAGGCCAGTGCTCTTGCCAGGAAAAGGAACCCTTACTGATCAGGCCAGCTTGGTTTAGTTCACCCTGATAGTGGGGTGGGGTGGGGACAGGGACTCTGTGACAGGAGCCAAGAACACGGAGCTCGAAAAAGACAAGGTCCTCGCCCTCCAGAGCCCTGCCCAGCATGGCAGGGAGAGAGACGCATTGGCTGACTGTGCCAGCACAGAGCGCTCACTACCTGTCCCAGGTGGGGCCCACAGTCCTACCTGTCCAGCAGGGCCTTGTAGCTGAGCACTCCAGAGATGAGGCTGGCTGCAAACCTGCAGAGAGGTGAGGCTGAGCCCTTCCTCCCACGCCCGGCTCCCTGCCTCCCTCCCTCCCTCCTGCTCTCCCTCCTTCCTTCTTCCTCCTCCCTACCTCCCCTCTCCACCCCACCCCCAACTTCAACCACCACCAAGTGCCAGGTCCCAGGAGCACACCAATCCCTTGGGGTGCCTGCTGCCCCTTCCCCCAAGGCTGTCAGCCCCATCACAAGCCTGCAGTAAAGATCGTCCTCTGGTGAGAACCAAGGGATGACACAGGCAAACTTGGAACCACCTGGAAGGGGCGGAGGGGGAGTGGGAAGACAGGGAGAGCCACAGAGCAGCAGACAGGGCTGCATGGGACCTGCTCCCTGGGAAGGCCAGTCCTGGGGCTGGCCCTGGCTGGGGGCCCTGTAGCTCAAGGAAACCCAGTCTCCTGGGAGCTGTCCATCATTGGGTTCCCTAGGTGGAAACGCAAGAGAAAGCAAGTGCCGGCAGGCAGCGAAGGGGAGCAGGCATCAGAGAGGCGTGCCGCGGGGACCGCGTCAGCTTAACCGCCCGTGGATGATGAGGCCTGGCTTAATTGCACGGGAGAGAAAATGCCCTCTCCAACACGCCTGCAGGACTGCTTGCAGAAGTCACTGTCAGTCCACGCGCCTCCTGCTGCCCAGGGGAGGCGTGGCTGCAGGGCACAGGGGAAGGCGGGGAAGGCGGCCGGGCCGCTGGCCAGCAGCTCAGTGAGCCGATCTTGGGGACACTGAGGGTGGTCGTGGGGGCGGCGGGGGGAGGGTCTCTATAGCCTGGGTGAGCTCTGCCCTGAGGCAGGGTTGGGGGTGCTGGGGCTTTTCCCGTTAGAGCTTGGGGAACCTGCCCTCCTCCCTCCCACCTGTCCCCCAGAGCTGCCCCATCCGTCTTGAGCCCAGAGACCGTGAGAGTCCCTGGCAGACCCCCCCACCCCGCCTCGCCAGCGCTGCCCACCGCGGCCATTGCCATTGCCATCAGCGGCTCAGAGGCCCTTCCTGCGGCTCAGTGAGCTCTGAAATTGCAGCAGATGGCAGAAGCTCTGCTGGCGGCCGCGGCTGCCGGGGAGGGACCATTTGCACCCCCTCTGGAGGCTCCTTGTAGAGCCAGGCTCTGGGGGGCAGCAGATACTGCTCAGACAGCCCTGGGGAGGTGTGTCCCAGCCACCAGGGCCATCTCCCGGGGCTTCGGCCAGTTCAAGACCGCCAGGGGGGACCTCCACGAGTGGCCATCCCACCACCCCAGAGGAAGCGCCACCTGCCCTTCCTGGCGCTGGATCCAGCCTCCCGCGAGGGCGGGTCCCTGAGCAGCGAGCACTGTGGCCTCACCTGAGCTGGTCATTGGTGTCGCGGAAGTGCTGCTGAGCAAAGATCACAGCGGGGCTGGAGTTGACGGGCAGGGCCAGGCGGTTATTGAGGTACATGTCATCGAGCCAGTACTCAGACACCTGTGGGGAAGGCAGCGAGGGGCACCTTTACCCATGCGCCCAGACAGGTGCACAGCACCTGGGGAGACCACGCTCCCATCGTGGCCACCGCAGGGGACAAGCGGGCACGTCCCTGGATCACCTATTCATTTATGCATTCATTCATTCCCCCAACATACACAGTGAGTCCAGGTATGTGCTAGGTCCCTGTGCTCCCAAGCCCACCCCTGCCCTGCACCCTCACCCCTGCTCTTCCACACCAGTCTTGCCTGTTTGGCTTCTGCCTCTCTTTAGTGAGTCCCACCCCTGCCTGTCACCTCTCTCTGCTTCCCTGACCTCATCCCTGTCCCTCTCTGCCCCCTCTTTGTCACCCGAATCCTGCCATCTGTCTCTGCGTCTGCCTCCCGCCCCTCTCCTGTGGGTCCCTGTGCGCCCCCCCCGCCCCCCCGCAGTAGACCATACCCAGTTGTCTGTCTCCCGTTGCCGCTCCAGGAGTTTCTGCTGCAGGGTCTCGCCCAGGCCACCAGGGGCCCCAAAACGCTGCACGATGGCCTGGCTCTTCCGGAACTGCTCCTCAGGCACCAGGTGTCGCATGCACTGCAGGTAGGTGGCCAGGGTCTGCTGCAGGGGGGGCACCGGCAGCTTGGGCAGCTCCTGGAAGAGAGGGGTCCCTGGGCACTCGCTGTGTGTCTGCCAGTCTGTGTCTCCTTCCGTTCATTCTTGGGGCCTGTTTCTGAGGCCCAACAGAACTGTGCATTTAGGGAGCTCTGGCTTGCTGTCTCTGCACCCCCACTATGTTCCTCTCCCCGCCCCACCCCCTGGGAGACACCAACCCCGAGAAGAGTCCTTGCTGTTGGACAGACCCGGGTTTATATCCTGACCTTGCTGCCTAGCAGCTGCGTGATCTAGAGGCAAGACACCCGCCGTCTGTGCCTCAGTCCCCCCCCCCCATAATGTGGAGGTGAGAACCCCGTAGGAGCAGGGAGACATGACGGCTATGAAGGTGCTTGTTGGAAACCATGCAGGCTTGGTCTGCGATGGAGCAGTCCAGCCACTGGTACTGTCTGCTGCTGGCCCGTCTCCATTTAGGCATTGTTCCCAGCTGGGAGTCTACAGCCTAATTGACCTTAAAGGGACCACTCTCACAGGGAGATCTGGAGGGGGGAAAAAAATGGGCTGGGGGCCATGGCTCAGTGCTGCCGGAGTGACCAGAATCCTACAGCTCGCTTCCTGGAAACAGTGCTCTTGCCCCAAGCTCCCCGTGAAGGCCTTCCAACCCGGCAAAGGATTTTGTTCCTTGTGGGGCCAGGCGTGGGGTGGAAGTCCTCTCCCCTTGTCCTCTCCAAGCCCACAAATAACAACCCCCATCTAGAGAGACAAGGAGAGAGTTAACCGGGGGGGAACAAGGGCCTCAAACAGACGCAGCATACAATCCTATGACGTGGGAGGAAATATTTGCAAACCGCTCATCTGACAAAGGATTAATATCCAGAAACTCAACAGCAAAAAGCCAAACAATCCACTTAAGAAATGAGCAACAGACAGTTCTTGAAAGAAAAAATACAAATGGCCACCAAGTGCATGGGAAAAAAAAAAAAAAAAACTCAAGATCATTAGCCATCAGGGAAATGCAAATCCAAACCAGCATGAGTGGTAGCTCACCCCAATTTGAATGGCTACCAAGAGAAACCCAGAAAATAACAAGCGTGGTGAGAAGGTGGAGCAAAGGAAACTGTTGGTGGGAACGCAAATCAGCCCAGCCGTATGGAGGTTCCTCAAATAGCTACAAGTGGATCTACCGTCTCCCCTAGCCATCCCACTTTTCCGGGAGACATCCAAAGGAAATAAACATCAACACATCAAAGAGACACCCGCCTCCCACTCTCACCACAGCACTAGTGAGACCCATGGATACATGGGTCAGGAAAACGAGGCATGGATGTCCTGTAGAATATTATGCAGCCTGAAAAAAGGATGAAACCCTGATGTTTGCAGCAAAAGGGATAGAACTGCCAAGTGATTAAATAGAATAAGCCAGACAAGTTTGACATGTTCTCTCTCATGTGTGGGAATTTTAAAATAAAAAGCCAATCTGAGCTTAGACTAGTGATTGTTGGGGATTGGGAAGGGTGCAGGGGAGGCTGTCTGAGTACAGGCACCAAAGCACAGTCACACAGGAGGAGCACGGTGGGGTGACACTAACCCACAGAATGCACTATGTATTCCTTATGAAAAGCCAAAGGCCGGCACCCCAAGGATGAAGAGACAGAAAGGCTGACTCCCCAATTGGATCCATCTTTGCTGTACACACGCATTGAGATACTATGCTGCACCCCATAAAAACATACGAGACTTACATGTTGGCCAAAACAGCACACATGACCTTGTGACTGTCCTGACCCTTCAGAGGAATTCCTAGAAGGATCCCGACGCACGGCCAGGGGCTGGACAGAACCTCCCGCCCCACGGTCCACCTAGGTGGGCACGGCACTTCCCAGCTTCGTGGCCATGTCCACCTAGGGCCTCAGGTAGGTCTTTGACCTTGTGACTTAGGCAGGGTGGGGGTTTCGGTTCCCATTCTGGGTCAGAACATGGAGACAGCAGTGCAAAGCCACACACAGACCAGATGGCACATCCAGGGGCTGCAATCCTCTTCCTCCACACCTATTTTTCTTCCTCTTCCTCTGCGGCCACTCCCTCTCCCCTGCTCCCTCTCCTTGCTGCTGACCGCAGGCAAGGAGGGTTTTAAATACTCTCGTTAATGTTGCTGGTGGCTGGTGGGCCACCTTGCTCCGGGGGCTTCTCTGAGGCTTTCAGGGGCTCCTCTCTGCCCTGGGGGGCTCTGGAGTAAGGGATCCTATTGACAGCACCCCCCTCTACTCTGCTTCTGCCCCACGCCCCAGGCAGAAGCAGATGGCGTGAGTGCAAGCTGATGGGCGGATGACAGTCCTCGCCTGTCTGGTCCTGTCCCTGGACTTCACTGCTCTGGCAGAGGGTGGGGTGTCAGTGCCAGCTATAGGCTGCTCCTGCCCCGGGGCACGATGCCAGCACAGGTCTGGGCAGCACCCCAGGTTTTGCCCAGCCCTCTCGCTATGAGCCAGGCCCAGCCCCGCCACGGCCACTTTCCGTCCTCCTCCTCATGGGGTCTGGGGTCTATGTGATGGGATCGGGAGGGTCTGGGTTGGAGTCAGAGATGATGGAGAGACAGAGACAGAGCTCTACAACATGCCACAGCAGAGAACATGCCACGAACCTGCCATGAGCCACAGCTAACAGCAGAGGCACGGGTCAGCTGCAAACATTGGAGTGGTATAGGAAGCAACCTCATGGGGTGGTAGAAGCCAGAAAGTTCTGATGGGGACCACAAAGCAAGGCTGGGAAGCGGGGCTGCGGGAGAGAGACCAACAGGTGCAGCAACCAGCACTCAGAAGTGTGCTTCTGTCACTCCACGGCTGGACAGGTGGGTGGGCAGATACCGTCCAGGGAGGGTGGCCTTGTCTTGGGCTGGTGGAACAGACGGAGCCCAGAGCTCCAGGGCTGAGCTGGGGCTGCAATGCAGCAAGGCTTGGCAAAGGGAATTCAGCCTCCCCCTAAGGCACCTCCAGCGGGCTCAAAGCCACTGGCAGTGAACGTGGGGGTGGCAGGAGGCTATTCTAGGGGGAAAGGTAGTTCCAGGTCCAGATCCAGGGCTCTCCTTGGGATCAGGAAGCATGACTGTCGCTTCCCCTGCATGTCCTGAGGCCACTCCCAGGCCCTCTGTATGCAAGCCTCCTCTGGACTGTTCTAGAAGCAATGCATGTGAGTAGGGAGAGCAGGGTCAAGAGGGAGAACTCCAAACATCACTCACAGGCTCCTCCTCCTCGCCGCTGGTGGTTTCTGCAGCCATCGCCTGGGAGCCTTTTTCCAGGATGGGCATCTTGATGATTCCTGGGCTGTGGAAGCCGAGGGGAGACCTGGGAAATGAGAAGTGAGGGCGTCAATGCTACAGCCACGTGGGCCTGCCAGGAACCTGTCCCCTCCCATAGTCTGACCCCCTGTCCCCAGCCCCAGGAGGAGGCCAGAGTCTGCCAGTAGCATACAGAGGCCCCGTGGCAAGCCTGGCTCCAATCTCGACACCCTCCCCCCACCTACCCCAGGCCTGTCCCCCTGAACCCAGCACTCTCTCTGAGCCCCCAAATGGGAGAGGATTCTGTAGTGAGCCTGCAGCTGGGACCTGCTCTCACAAGGCTGGGGGCTCCCGGGGCAGCACTGGAGGAAGAGGCAGGGCTGGGCTTGCCCTCTTCAACTCCATGGGGGTGCCTAGAGCACTCGCTTTGTTCTTGCCTGGGAAATAACTGGTATGCACTTGGCCATGCTTCATCTGCGGGGACTGGCCTGGTGCAGGGTGGATGCTGGTTAGCGGAAGAGGAGGAACACATGGGTGCATGGATGACCCCAAGGCCCCCAAGGCTCTGTGCTCTGGGAGATGCTCTGGGGAGGACCCCAGGACCTGTTGGATGTCTGGTGCCATGAGATTGCAGAGGTAGCTGATGCAGGACACCAGGAGCCTGGGGCCCTAGGGGGACAGGTGAATTTGGAAGGTGCAGCAGAGGGAGGCAGGCCAAGAAGAGTGAGGCCACTTGTTCTTTTGTCTTTGTTATTATTTGAGAGGGAGAGAGAGGAGAGAGAGGAGACAGAGAGAGGGGGGGGGGGGGAGAGAAGAGAACTTCCATGTGCTGGTTCCTTCCCCAAATGCGCACAATGGATGGTGCTGGGCCAGGCTGAAACTGGGACACAGGAACTCGCTCAATCCAGGTCTCCCACATGGGTGGCAAGAACCCAACTACTTGAGCCATGCAGGTACCCATTAGCAGGACTCATGAGCAGAGTAGAGACTCGGACCCAGATACTCTCAGATGAGACGCAGGTGTCCCAACGGGCATCTTAACTGCTAGGCCAAATGCCCACTGCCAAAGGCCAGTTCTTAAGGTGGTGGGGAGCACACTGAGACCACCCCCCTCCAAGCCGGAGCCTGCAGAGGCACACACTCACGACTTCCACCAACCCACCCTCCATTCTCCCCCAAGAACCTAAAGCTCGTGTTTAGCCAATTCCATCACCCACACCAGTCCTGCTGGGAAGAAAGCACAGGTCCAGATGTGGGTACCTGGCACAGCAGACTCAGGAGACGGGGTCCCCCCACCCCCAAAGAAGGAGGGACCAGGCAGGCCCGAGGATGGAGTAGCCTGAGGCTGTCTGTGGCTCTGGGCCCTTGCAGGCAGGGGCAAGGGAGCTGCCCGCTGAGAGGCTGCTTCTAATACAGGTCCGATTTTCGTACAGTAGAAGCCGGGCTCTGTCACCCTTGATGCAGGTTGCTGGTCCTGTGTATCATATCCAGATTACTCAACCCTGCAGCCAGAGAGAAGGACGCAGCCGCATCTCTCTGCCTGGCAGGCTGGCCTCTCCCATTTTCCCCACTGTGAACCATTCAGACATTTTGCCCGGGGAACTTAAATATACCACTGGGTGCCAACAGCTCTCGTCTGCCCGACCTCCATGTGTGGGTCTTCCCACAGGTGTGCTACGCCCCCACCTCAGGGACCATAAGTACTTAAAACTCTCAAACTCACACTGTAGCTGTGCCATTGAAGCACCCCCTCCCCCCCAAAGGACCCACGCAGGTGCATCCGCTGAGGGTTCACTTCTATTCGGACCTGTGCCGGATGGATGCTGGCGGGTAGCTACCAGACAAGTCGATAATGAAACTCAGTTGAGTCCAAAACAGTGGTCCCAGGCAGGCTAGTTTAGCAGGCGTGGGGCTGCCTAGGACTGCAAAAAAAACCTGTAGGGCCCAGGTGAGGGTCCCTTGGGGTGAGTGAGGAGTGGAGTCGGTTTGAGAGGGCACCAGAGCAAGGTCAAGTTGGTAAATGGTTCTGTAGACCTTGTTGCCAATGCCTCTTCTTGCTGCCAGTGCGCCTCTTCCCTCCCCCAGGAAGTCACTAGTCAGGCATCAGGGATCCAGGGCCGTGGAGGGGAGCCTCGGACCCCAGCAAGATGCCTTCCTGGTGGTCCAAGCCTGCCAGCTCCTTTTCCTTCTTGGCTCTTATCTATGTGTCTCCCGAGCTCTCATCCACGCACCCGCCAGTCTGGCCTTTTAGGGCTGCCCGGAGGGGTCTCTGCTCTGCCCTCAAGCGCCCAGCCCAGCCTGGCACAGAGTCACCTGCGGGCTTCGCGCGGAGGCCGGCTCAGACTTGCTACCTGTCGCGGCTCCCCGCCACTCCCTCCCTCCGTTCCCCAGAGGGTCTGCAGCCACCACGAGGTGGGCGCGCTCTGCACCTCAGGGGGAGCCTCGGACCCTCTGCTTGGGAGCGGCAAGCACACGCACGCAGACCTCGGCACTCAGCAGATGCGTGCCCGGGGTGTGGTAAGCACAGGCGCGTGGCGCCCCGGGTGATCCAACCTCTCCAAATCCAAGCACCCAGGCAGCGGAATCCCGCAGCCTCCTGGCTGTCCCCCGACGGCCGCCGCCGCCCAAAACTCAGAGGACCCGGCGACTGCCAGGGCCTCTGGATCCCGGTCCCAGTCCCCGGACAGCACCTCTGTCCGCAGCTTTCCGCTCCCCGCGCCATGCTCCGCCCGTCCGCCCAGCCCTTCTCACCTGCTCTCCCGGGTTCCGCCGCCTCAGCCGCCGCGGCCGCACAGCACCAAGTAGGACTGGGGGCGTGGGTGTGAACCCGAGAGGATGGGAGGGGGTCGGGAGCGCGCGTCGGCAGCGCAGGGTGGGGGCCGCCGGCTGGGTCCCCGTTGGAGCCTCCGACGTAGCCGGGTCCCCGCGGCCGCCCGACTGGCTGTCTGCGAACCCGCCTCGCCTCTCCTTCCTCCTGTCCCTCCTCCCTCCCCAGCCCCTCCCTGTCTCCTTTCCTCTCGGTCCTCGGTTCCCCCCTTCCCCCTCCCCCTCTGGGCCCCCGGAACCTGTCCGGACGACTCGCGCCCCGGCAGCAGAATCCAGGCCGGAGAAGGGCGCGGGGAACATGGCTCCGCCCCAGTCGTCGCCCCCTGCCCAGCCTGACCCTCCCCCGCGCTCCCCCAACCCCATCACCTCCCGCCCGCGGCTGCTAATGAAGCAACCTTGGGGAAGGTTGGGTGAGAGGCGATCTCTGCTCCCCGCCGACTAGGCCAGACTCAAGCCCTACCAGACCCTCCTTAAAAATAGTATTAATAATAATAAAAAACCTGTTTGCCAATTACTGCAGGGCCTACCTTTCTGCTGCCGACCCTTCCCTGCTGGCGCTGGGGGGTGGGAGGTGGAGATGAGTGGAGCTGACTTGGGCAGACGCAGGGGTGCTTGGAGACCTGACTTAGGGGCAGATAAAAGTACCGCCTCCCAGATAGAACCCCCTCCACACACACACACACACACACACACACACACACACACGAATGAGCACCCACGAGGAGAGGCCCCACACAGACACACATACACGGGGAATGCAGGCCCCCACGGGCGACCCAGACCCAGCCGCCTCTCCACGAGATCTGGAACTTGGAGGGGGGTGTCCCCTGAACGCCGGCCCGGGAGCCCGGGACTCCAGGCCCTGAAACTTCTGAGACCCTCCCTCCCCGCCGGGCGCGGCTGCCTCCATTCGGGATGGGCCGGGGGTTGGCAGCAGCTCACACACTCACGGCCCGGACCCGCTGCAGCGGAACGCAGCCGCCGCCACCTGCGCCCCACGCCTCCTGGTGGGTAGCGCCCAGCTCTCCCAAGGAACACACACGGATGGATGCGGGTTCCATGGATCAGGCCTGCAAAGACGCGGCCCGTTTATCTTCCTCCTGCCGGAACGGCTCGTTGCTCATTCCTTCCTCGAAGCCTGGCCCGGGCGGGATACCGGTGGGAAGGGGAGCCCAGCCCGCAGGCTCCTTGGAGCCCTGCGGCCGGCGCGGGGCGTACCCTCAAAGGGCGGGGCCGGGCGCGCGCGGCCGGTGCTGGTTCTCTGCTCCCCCGGGCCACACCTCCGGGCGCTGCTCTGGTCCTGCCCGGAGGGGCCGACTCGGGCTGCACGGAGCGTGCGCTCTAGGGCGCCAGCGAACGGGAGCCCTTGGTGGGTTTGCCTCCTTTATGTGCCCTTTCCCAGGTAGCAAAGGAGCCACAGGCTTCCCACGTGCCCGCCGGGCTGGAGACGGACCCAGCTGAGCCTCCCCCTCTAACCGGGGCCTACGCCCAGCTGCCCACCCCACCAGTAAAGAGACTCGACCTCCTCGGACAGATACGAGTTTATTAATTCGGCCCGGAGGCGCCGCGGTGCAGCGGGCCGTGTTTGGCACTGGGAGGAACGTTGGGGAAGAAGGGACAGGCGCGCCTTTGTCTACACAAGGGAGCCCCGAGGTGGAGGCCTGCCGGTCTCCTCCTCCCGGCAAGGAGCGCAGCCGCTTAGCCTTGCCCCGGCGCTCCACGCCCACGGGAGCAGATTCTGGCAGGGGGAGTAGAGGCTGGGGGGAGGGGGGGGCTGGGGTTCTCGCTGGAGGAGGCGGGCCCTGAGCTTGAGCTGGCCAGTGCGCTCACAGAGCAGGCCCCTTGCCCCGAGGGGCAGCGGAGGGGTGGGGGGCGGTGGCCTGGTGCCCGAGCCCGGCGGCTAGCTACGGGTGTAGTAGTAGTCGTAGTCGTCCTCGCCCGCGTCCAGAGGGTCAGGCGGGGAGCAGAGCTCGCCGTCCTGGCCGGGCGCGGGACGCTCCCGCAGACGCACCGCGTCGTACAGGCCCTGCGGCGGCTCGTCCAGCAGCACGTCGCGCTCGGAGCGGGAGCGCGTGAGGAGGCCCACGTTGCGAAGCAGCAGCAGGACCGGCGCGTAGAGCAGATTGGCCAGGCCCATGCCCAGGCTGAGCTGCTCGAAGCCCAGCGAGTGCACGATGTGGCCGGCCACGATGGGCCCGAGCGCGTAGGCCACGGAATAGGAGATGTCGGCGATGGCGTAGACGCTGCCATAGACGGAGACGTGGCGCACGTCCACGAGGAAGGCGAGCGTGGGCAGCAGCGCCGTGTCCACCAGCGCGATGCCGAAGCAGAGGCCGCAGAGCGAGACGACGAGCGGCGCGAAGGAGAGGCAGGCGGGCACGACGCAGGAGCTGGCGCCGATCACCGCCAGCCCGAGCGCGCCGTACAGCCACTGCAGGTGCGGGTAGCGCGCCGCCAGGCGCACGGTGAGGTAGACGCCCAGCACGTGCGGCACGAAGGCCGGCAGCCAGACCATGCCCATCTCCCACTCGGACGCTGCCATCGTGTGCTTCATCCACGTGGCGATGGTGGGCTCGAGGAAGGCCAGGGGGATGTTGCAGGTGGTGAGCGCGCCGGCCACCACAGCGATGTAGGGGTCCAGCATAAGGCGGTGGATGGGCGTGCCCACCGGCAGGTTGGCGCGCGCGCGCGCGGCCGCCGAAAAGGGCCTGGCCACGGCCAGTAGCAGCAGCGCGTCGAGCAGCGACACGGCGGCCAGCACCAGGAAGGGCACCCGCTTCCCGGCGAACTCGTAGAGGATGCCGCCGAAGGGCGGCGCCACCAGGCTGCCGAAGCTGATGAAGGCCAGCGCCACGCCCAGAGCGCGGCTGCGCTCGGGTTCCTCGGGGTACTTGTCGGCGATCATGGCGATCCCCGACGTGTCGGCGAAGGCGGAGCCCAGGCCCTGCAGGCTGCGCGCCGCGAACAGCGTGGCGTAGTCCTCGGCGAAGGCGAACATGGCCGTGGAGGCGAACATAACGCCCAGGCCGATGAGCAGCGGTACGTCGTAGCTCATGCGGTCGATGAAGGGCCCGCTCAGCGGGTTCACCAGCAGCTGCAGGATGGCCTTGGAGGCAAACAGCACTCCGATCTTCACGTCTTCGCTGTCGGCCGGGTAGCGCGGCCGCAGGATCGGCCCGGCGGGCGGCGCGGCCGTCGGGGTCGCCGAGGCGTTGGCTGCCGCGGCGCTGGCGTTGGCCAGGGTGGGCGGCGGCGGGGTGGGCTCCCACGCCTCGGGGGTCGCCGTGGGACTGTCGCTGCCGCCGCGCATGGAGGCGATGTAGTCCGGCACAATGGGCACGATGACCATGTACAGCATGTTGTCCAACAAGAGCGCCACGCACACGATGACCAGCACCAGACGCCGCTGCCGCCGCGGCTCCTGCAGCGCGGCGCCCACAGCCTGGGACAGCTTGGAGGCTGCAGCCCGGGCCTGGCCCGCCGGCGCCTCGGGTTCCATGCCCCTGGCCCCCCGATGCTCTTCCTCGGGAAGTCTCCACCGGCTCCGGGCGCCGACGTCCCGCAGTGCAGAAACTGCAAGGTGCGGGACTTCGGGGGGCGCGATCCTCGCCACGCAGCTCACACCCACCCCTCTACACACACACACACACACACACAACCCCACCCCGCGCCTGTGCCTCAGGTGGCTGCGGGACTCATGGCCCCGTGCCCCGGGAAAGACAAGGACTCCGTCGCGCGAGGAGGCGCCGCCGCTGCGCTGGAGCCGATCCGGGACCCGCCGCCGCCGCCGCCGGGCTCAGGAGCGGCGGGAGAGGCGGGCGCACTGAGAGGCTGAGGCCGGAGACTGGACGCGCCGCGCCCGGGGCGCATCCGGAGCAGCCCCCGCAGCGCTGAGAGGCAGCCCGCGCGGGCCGAGGGGCATGGCTGCTGCCGCCTGCCCCAGCCCCAACGCCGCCGCCGCCGCCGCCGCCGCGCTCCCCTCCCCGCGCCTCGGCTCCTCTTTTTCCCCCTTCCACTCGGGGCTGTGACGCGGCGAGTCCCGGCCCCCGAGTGGTGCCCCGGCCACTTGCGTCGCGCATGCTAATGCGACGTCGGCTGGGCGGGGGCCGGGGGCGGGGCGCGGCCGGGCAGGGGTCCGCTCCTCCGATGCTCTAGGGCCGCGAGCCCCAAGACAGGGTATCGTTACGGGCGGCTACGGGACGAGCCCCGGAGGGTGGGCGCGCCGCACTTGGAGCCGGCCCTCGCCTCCCCCTCTGCCTGCCCGGGACGGGGTCCCCGGGGGAGAGGGAGACCAGGGGCTCTGGATCTCCGCCTCCGCCCGAGTCTCGGCGCGCAGCGGGCAGGGAGCCCCCGAGGTGAGCCGCGGCCGCGTCCATCTGTCCTCCTCGCAGCTGGAATAGTGGAGCCGCGACCCGAGGGGCTCCGGGCACAGACACCTCCCCAGCTCTTTCTCTGGCCCCACCCCCTAGCCCCTGTCACCCCAGGAAGGGAGGGAGAGGCCCAGGGTCTGCTGAGCCCGGTCTGGAAAAATCCCCCACCGCGAACATGGGGGACTGAAGAGAGAGGTAGCCTCGCCCCGACCCAGGGTCCCGGGTATCAGCCAGGCCCCTCCCACCCTCCGCAGCCCGGGCGCTCCCGTGGCTCTAGAGCCTGCGGATCCCCCAGCCCCACTTCCTTTCTCCCCCCTCCCCACTCTAACTCCTCCCAGACTCCCCCCTCCCCAGCCCCCGGCTCCTTCGCGCCTCCGCCCACTTTTCCGACACCTCCCTTCCGCAGCTCCAGGGATGGGCAGGGTGGGCTCGGGAGTGACAAGGCCGGAGTTCCTCCTTGGAGCTGCGGGGGCGCCGCGCCCACTCCCCAGGAAGGGCCCAGCCCCAAGCGAGGCTCACCGTGATAAAGGCCCGCACCGCGTAGGCGCCCGCTTCTCAGCTCACGGGCTGCGCTGGCCGGGCTCTGCGCCGCGCCCGTCGCGTCCCCAGAAGGTCTTTGACCCCAGATGGCCGGTGGAGTCCGTGTTCGAGTCCCCGGGCTGGCGGGAGAGAGGAGGGCTCCGCAGCAGAAGAGGCTGGGGGGCAGGAGGCTTGCGTTTTTGAGATTGCGGGTTGCCTTTTTTTTTCAGAGAGGAGCCTTTCCTCTCTTCTGATCTCAAAAGCAGATCAACCATAGGTGCAGCTCATTCGCCCCACGCGCCCCCCCCCCCGCACCCAGCAGGAGGCCACAGAACAAGAGCTTTATGGGCAGGCAGCTGGGATGGCTCCTACCTCTGCCACTTGCTGCTAGGAGTACCTCTGGGAAATGAC